GACCTAAGGATCTCAATTTGAAGTTATTCTGGGCAGGAAAGTAATAAGCCAGCAAAAAAGTCAAAAGTAGAGGTGTAGCTCAAGTGGTAGAGTGCCAGCCTTGAGCAAAGAAGTCAAGTAACATGAGGCCCTGAGTTAAAGCCCCATTATAAATAAATAAATAAATAAAATGTACAATTCCACAAGGTCGGTGTGCCTATTGGCCCTATTTTATGCACATAGAAACAGAAGTAGATTTCTTGTATGGCCTGCAAAGTTAATGTTGGTCTCACCCACCTTTGGAGCTTCTCTGGTCACATTTTCTGTTTACTCTTCCATCTGCCTCTCTGGAGTCAGTCCACATGCATCACTTTTAATAGCCACAGAGCTGCTGAGATACTACAGGGGAAGAATGGAGGTTCTGATTATTTCACTAACCAGACACCGATTGGACCAACTCAAGGAATGGCTACCTGGGGTCTGGTGAAGGAGCCATGGTCATTTCAATAGTGACAGGGAGATAGCCTTGCTTTTGCAAACAGTTCCTCTTTTCCTTCTCTTCCTCTTCCCCTTCCTGCTCCTTCCCCCCTCCTCCTCCTCTTCCTCTTCCTCCTCCTCTTCCTCCTCCTCCTCCCCTTCCTCCTTTTCTTCTTCCACCTCCTCCTCCTCATTCGGACTTGGGAAGAGTGAGACCTAAGCTTTTTTCATGATAGGGGAAGGAAAAGAGGATGAGGAAGAGGGTGTTGCTTAGCAGTTCACACTAACCAGCTTACTGTTGAAGAAATTGGGCCCAGAGAAATGGTCATTCATTCAAAGTCACATAGCTTGGGTGAAGTGGAGCTGGGATTTAATCCCAGGTTCCTCTCTGTAAGACCTAGGAAGAAATCAGACCAAGTGTTTTTCCTTCCTATTTTCTAACACTTCTCACAGCAGATAGCTGGGTCAGGCGGTATTCTTACCAACCAAGCAAGCCTGCACTGGTATCACAGGCTGGCCTCTGATTCAGCCCTGATGCTTTTTACCTAGAGTTAGTCTTAGATCTAAGGTTGTGGAGAGCTCAGTCTCCCAGGACTGCCTGCTCCATTTCAGGTGACAGTCACAAGTTCTAGACCACAGCCTGTACGTCCAAGCAACTGGCTAGAGTTCCCTTAACTCCCTTTTCAGGTTCAATGAATTTGTTGGGGCAGCTCACCGAACTCAGGAACATCACTGATTCATCTCTAGCAGCTTTCTGGAAAGGTTACCGATGAACAACAGATGTAAGAATTGTGGAGGGCAAGACTGGTGGGAAGGGCACACCACCCTCCAGCAATCTCCACATGTCCAGCAATTTGGAAGCTCTCCAAAGCCACCATAATTGATAACGTCACTGCCTATTAGTCAACTCAACCTCTAGCTTCCCTATCCTCGTGGGAGGGGTGTGTGTGTGTGTGTGTGTGTGTGTGTGTGTGTGTGTGTGTGTGTGTGTGTGTAAGATTCCAACCCTCTAATCATATGATCGGATTCCTGGCAACCAGTCTCTATTCTGAGATCATCCTGGAGCCCAGCAAGCATCACCGCCTAGAACAAAAGATTCTCCTACCACTCAGGAAATTACAAAGGCTGTAAGAATTCTGTGCAGGAACTGGAGTCAAAGATCAAATATTAGAGCAAGACTTTCTCCTAGTGTCCTTATATACAAAAGGTTTTTTTTTTTGGTTTGTTTTTTGGGCTCTGTGCCAAGAACTGAAGACAGAAACCAAATATATACTTACTATGTCACAATATTACAGGCCTTTTTCCTCTGCACACTGTCGTACTCTTATTGTTAACTGTGAGTGTTAGAAAATCATTCCTTAGTATCAGAATGAAACTCATGAGTGAGATGGTATTGGATAGTGGCTTGTCCTCCATCCTTCACCTTCCCACAAGCAACAGGTGAGGTCAGAGGAAAAGTGGTGGTTTCAGAACCACATCTGCTCATGAGGTAAGAAGAGGACAGAGCTGCGTCGGATAAAGCTGTAAAATGGGCCGCCATCTTCACTGTCTCTCAGCACCTCTCCCCTCCTCAGAGACTTCCCCTTCCTCTGCCCCCATTCTACCCCTGCCACTGAGACGCTGCACCCAAAGCTTAGGCTAGCACACAGGCTTCTCTCTGTGTGCTGTATTTGGCGAAACCCACTAACCCCCTCTCTCCCCTCCCGCTCCTCCCCGCCTCCAGCCAAAGTTCCTGCTTCCCCTCCTGGGGCCTTACTGTCATTGTGTATACAGGCTGTGTGATTTTTCAGGGTCTCTGGACTTGAACCTCATGGACTTCCAACTCTGACAATGAAAGAACATGAGTCTTAGAGGGGATTGTGTGAAGCCGGAGACAGAACCAAAACCAAAACAAATCCCACAGTCCTTCAGTTGTTCCCAACTCCAGAGTTGTGGGTTGAGGTTGGCATTTATTAATAGAAGACTTCACAACAGTGTTCCCCATCCTTGTGGCTGGGATAGGCACAATCCTTCCCCACTGCCAGTGCAAGCAGGTAAAAGTGGTATATTTGTTAACCCAGTTTAGGGCCAAAAAGCATCTATTATGGCATGTTTAAATAAAAATCTTTGAACCCATTCTGGTACAGGTGCTAGATACACAGATAGACATGGCAGGAACAAAGAAGGTAAAACTTCAGTGAACAAAATCGAGAAATATGGCCTTAAACAAACAGCAGTCTGATTTCTGCTAGAGACTACCTAATGGAGGAGACATTTGGTTGAGGTGAGTTTTCTGCTATCCCTTTTCCACCACCCCCAAATCCAGGAGACCTGCGAGATTGGTACTCTCTGAATGTGTGCTTTTTGTGTGTGAGTGCCAGTCCTCAGGCTTGAACTCAGGGCCTGGATCGCTTGAGCTTCTTTTGCTCAAGGCTAGCACTCTACTTGTTGAGCCACAGCTCCACTGTCAGCTTTTTGATGGTTTATTGGAGATGAGTCTCAGGGACTTTCTGCCAGGTCTGGCTTTGAACTACAATCCTCAGGTCCAGCCTTGTGAGTAGCTAGGATGACATGAATGAGCCATGGGCGCCCAGCTGAAGGTGTGCATTTTCCTGTGCTACAGGAGCATGGCATGGACTGCAGATCCCTGCAGACTAGGGACAGTTGGCACTAAGGATGCCTGCCTTTAGGGTTGTGGTGAGGATGAGACTGGGTAGTAAACCAGGCTCAGTGCAGTGGAGAAGGATGTGGTCATTGGTGCCTGTGTCTCAGATGAAAATCCTTCCTCTGTCACTTTGTATAGTCTTTCTGGGGCAAGTGACTTAAATCACAAATCACGTGCAGGTCAAAAGTACCATCCACCCCAATACTATTACATATGTTATCTGCTTTTCAGTACATATTAACTTGTCAAACAGAACCTACCCATACTTCATATTGACTTGCTCTAACATTATACCTATAATTAAATGTATTATCTCTTTCCTCATTTGCCATTCATGTTCATCTTCCCTTATCTTTTCTTTCTCTTATCTCTTCTTTCTTCTCCTCCTCCTTCCTCTCTTTCTCCTTCCCCCCCCCCCAGGTGAATAGGCAGTTGAGACAACAGGAAATGGGGCAATTATTCTTTTCCAATTGTTCTATTTTTCAGAGAGCTAGGAAGCAAGGTCATCAGTGGAGAAAAGAAGAAAGCATGAAGATAAGGAAAGGAACTGGTACACTCATTAACACACCTACAAATTCAGCATGATCCATTTGTTATTTGTAAGAATAACTTTGGACAGTCTTGAAGGAGGCACCACATAGGAACTAGTTAGCCACATTTATTTACTTATTTAATTTTTATTGTAAAAGTGATTACTGAGGTTATAGTTATATAAATCAGGTAATGAGTACATTTCTTTTCAGTGTTACCCTCTCCCTCAGTTTTTCTCTCCCAACCTCCCTCTCAAGTTGTCTAGTTCATTTCCAACACAGTGTCTAGTGAAGGCAACAGTTATTTAATACACTCTTATTAAAGGTCTATTGTATGCGCAGGCACTGTGCTAGGTTCTGTCTCAAGAAGAATACAGCCAGGAAAATTAAAAAAATAACAAAACTGCTAATGTGTTAAAGGACAATGGAGAGGAAATACTGAGAGTATGTTACAACAGCATCTGACTAGACTTGTACCCAGACTTGTGTAACTTGGACTGCAGAAATTCAGCTGAAGAGTATTCAATCAACAAGGCAAAAATATTCAGTTAACAAGATAAAAGAGGTGATCTATTGAACTACATGAGGAGGCAGAACAGTGCAGCAGATGCTGTTTGAATCTGTGAGTATCCTCATTGTTCCCGGGCACCTTATATTACAGCTCCCCCTGCAAGCATCTCTGCATCTACCTCTGAAGACATTCCTATTTGCACAAAAGGCAAGCTGAGAAGTGCCAGAGAGTTAATATCCCTTCCAGTGGTCCTCAACCAACCACAACGCAGTGGGTGCATATACATTCCAGTTTGCTGGCCTTTTAGGTGGGCAGAGGACCAGAGAGACTGTGCCCCCAGAAGCCCACTGTGAAACCCACTCATTTCCATACCCTGTGTGATTCTCCTCCTTTTTATCTCACTTCCCCATTCTCCTACAGTTGCTTCCTGGATTAACCTCTCAAATAAACTCTTTGCACTCAAATCTCTGTCTTCAAGTCCACTTGAGATGGGTGGGGGAGGAGGAGATCAAACAGAAGGTAAGCTAACTTTTAGAACAATCGGATGATGAACACAAAGGCTCACATATGTGGCTCTGAGATGTCTGTCATGGGAGACAGTGATCCCATTAACAACGACAAAAGACTCTTCCATCCAAGAAGAGGGAGAAATTCAGGGTCTGGAAAGACTGAACTCAAAGTGCCCGTGACACTTGGTATCTTGAAACTCCCTGAGTACAAGGTTAAAAGCCAGGCGCCAGTGGCTCATGCCTGTAATCCTAGCTACTCAGGAGGCTGAGATTTGAGAATCACAGTTCAAAGCCAGCCCGGGCAGGAAAGTCCGTGAGACTCTTATCTCCAATAAATCATGAGGAAACCGGAAGTGGTGCTGTGGCTCAAGTGGTAGAGCGCTGGCCTTGAGCTGAAGAGCACAGGTTAAGACCATTGACTGTGGATACAAGGAAAAGGCACTTAGCAGAAAAGGGACCACACAGAAGAAAACACCAACAGAAGTGAACCTCACATCTTCCTAGAGGCCCATGGCAGTGTCCTCTTTTGACACCAGAGAATGTAAAGCCCTCGCTGTCTCTTCCAGACGGTCTCTATACTCTAGTTTCTCATAGTTGGAGGGACTCACTCCTTGAAAACCATACATAACTCCCCACCAGCAGCCAGCAATGGCGGCAGTAGAATCACTGTCTCCACCGTGGAAAAAGGCCCGGTGGGCAAGCTCTTTCCATGAGTCCCCAGCAGCAAGGATGGCATCATAGGCAATCATGGGAGCATCGTGTCCGCTGCTGCCACCCCAGCCAGAGTAGCTCAGGGAGGTGTAGAACTGGTCTCTCTCTTTCACAGTGAAGGGCTGGTGAGAGGTAGGGGCTGACTTGCCATCCAAAATGCCTCTAAGGTTCAGGTATTTTTCCCATTGATCTTGAAAATAGGACCTGGGAGAAAGAAAAAAAAAAAGAGAGAGAGAGCCAATTGAAAAACTGAAATCAGAAGCTATAAGGAAAAACAGCAGGTAAATGTGAGAACAAAGAACAGTCTGAGATGACTTCAACTACTTGCACTAATGTAAACTACATTAAAACTCAAAGTTAGGTGCTAGGCAGGTGGCTCAATGGTAGAGCGCTTGCCTTGCATGCCTGAGGCCCTGGGTTCGATTCCTCAGCACCACATAAGCAAAAAGAAAAAAGCCGGAAGTGGCGCTGTGGCTCAAGTGGTAGAGCACTAGCCTTAAGCTGAAGAGCTGAGGGACAGCGCCCAGACCCAGAGTTCAGACCCCACGACCAGACCCCCAAAAAAAAAAAAACAATAAACTCAAAGTTAGCTCCAACAGCCATTTATTTCATACATTTTCTTTTGCTAAACATCTACATAAACAATACTGTGACACCATTGCTAAATAAAGAAGATATATAAGAAACAAAAGTTAGCTTTTCCAGGGTTGAAAGTAGTGTCAAATGTCATCTATCAATGGGAAACTGGAACATTACAACCATCGATGACCAGCAGAAAGCTCTGGACCCTTTTATTCTACGAGAGAGAATGAGAAGTAAGCTCACAGAAAGGGGAAGATGTGGCCTTACTGCTTATCAAGTAGCTAATGGAAAAGAACTATCATCTCTTGGGCATTCCAAGCAAAGACTGCTATTCAAATTGCTATTCATATCAAGACAGTAATGGAAAAACAAGTTCCAGGTAAATAAGAAATAACCAAGAAGCCAGGTGCCGGGTGGCTCACACCTGTAACCCTAGTTACTAAGGAGGCTGATATCTGAGGATCACAGTCCAGAGCCAGCCTGGGCAGGAAAGTCCGTGAGACTCTTATCCCCAATAAACCACCAGAAAACCAGAAGTGGTGCTGTGGTTCAAGTGGTAGAGCACAAGCCTTGAGCTGAAGAGGGACAGTGCCCAGGCCCAGAGTTCAAGCCTTAGGACAAACAAAAAAACACACACACAAACAAGAAACTACCTCAGCATAGGATGGCCAAAGAGATTATTTTTTAAAAAAAAGAAAAAGTCAGAGAGGAGGGAAAAATAACTATAGAAAGCCAGAATACACAGCAAGGAGGCACTGTAACCACATCACTACCTTGGGGGTCTAATCAGCTACTTACAGCCACCATGGCTGGATGGGAATTTGAAAACCTCAGTGGGAAGGCAAGGAGGGGGTTGGGTGGTAAGAACCAAGATGGTTGCCGTCATATCTGAGTCCTGGGCACGCATGCTCAGTGTATACACATGCACACACACACACATTCACCCAGAGGCCAGTGGAGGCACGGGCCAGCAGACTCACCAGTGTTGAAGATTCTCCTCCACAAAGTAGCCTGACTGAACAATGTATTTTTGAGCTTCTGGTAACACCTCCATCAGTCCTTTCCCCCACTGCCAGGGTGGTTTGCCATTCACTGCATAGGCTGTAAAAAGGGCCGACGCCAGGGCTCCCAGGTACCCTGTTGGGTGGTGGTGGGTCATCCGCCCACTCTCAATGCTCACTCGGATCAGTGTATCCAGTTGGCTGCGGTGGGGGAACCTGAGGCCGATGCACATAGCCCGCATGGCAGCCCCACAGCCACCTTCTCGCTTGTTGAAGGGAATCCTCCAGCCATTGGCTTTATGGGGCTCCAGCTGCATCGCATTACTCATGGAGGCGCCACCTGAGGACACATGGGGTACAGAGCGAGGTCAGTGTCACCAAAGCCAAGGCTCCAGTAGGAAGAAACAGCTATGCTGTCTCCAGGTTTCTCTGCTAGAAAGGGAAAGTCAAGGGACCCAGTGTGGTGACACAACCCTTGTAATACCCGAGGCACAGGAAGTGGAAATGGGAGGATTTCAGTTTGAGGCCAGGCCAGCCCAGCCAAAAGAGTGAGTCCTTCTCTCAGAAAAACAAAACAAGATAGGCATGATGATACACACTTATAATCCAAGTTATAGGAGAGGATGGGAAGGGAATAGGAGGATCATGATCCAAGGTCAGCCCAGGCAAAAGCACAAGACTTTAACTGAAAAAATAAGCTAAAGCAAAAAGGACCAGGATGTGGTACAAGTTGTAGAAGTCCACCTTGCCAATGTGAGATCCTGAGTTCAAATCTCAGCACCAAAAAAGAAAACAAACAAGCAAACAAACTGAAAAGACACCTGATAAACAAAGTTCCTAAACATCAGAAAAAAAGCCCCAAACTTTATAGTGAAGCTCAGTCTGTCCCCCGGGTAACGGTGGTGTAAGTGTGCTTATCCCATTGTTCTACTGTCCTGAGGACCTGTGACTACCTTTGGAGCCAACCAATGGCAGAAGCATACTAGGGAGTCAGAGCATACTGCTCTGCTACTGGCTAGTTTACTCACAGCCATGTTCATGGATGACACAGGCAGAGAAGGAAAGTATCTCTTCCCAATGCCAGACTGAGGCTAAAGAGCTGAGAGAAAAACAAAGTGTCTATAAATGTCGTCTTTCTTTGGAGGACATCAAAAGGGGAGTTTCCATATCCTTACTTCCTTGTACAATCCAGCTGGTCAAGTTAGCATACTATTATTTTCTCTTCCTAATTAAGCTGCTTTTCTAAAGAGGAGGAGGAGAAAGAGGAGTTAGAAATACTCTAGATGCCAATCTGAGGAGATATTCGATGCTATGGGGGAAAAAAATGAAGAGAGTTTAGTTTCTAAGGCCAATCCTTGGGCTAAAGAGACATCCCTAGGTATAATGCTGGTGAAGTATTCAGGGGCTACACTGTGCTCATGTGTTGAAGTCCAAATTCACACGTTGAAGCCCTAATATCTGGTAAACAAAAAAAAATTGGAGATAGGACTCCTCAAGAGATGATTAAACTAAACTGAGACATCGGGATGAAGAGTAATCCTATCTGAATGGGATCCTTCTGAGAAAATAAACATGAACACAGAGGTGTAAACACACACAGAAGAAAGACAATGTCATTTTTCTGAGTTAGGCTCTCAGGTTGGCCTGTAATTTGCGAAAGCCTCCCACCTTAGCCTGAGTGCTGGGATTACAGGCATGCACCATCATGCCTGGCTAAAAAAGAAAACAAACAAACAAACAAATGCTTTTGTTTATATTTTTCATTTTTTTAATTAGAAAACATGATTAAGCAAGAGGAAAATAAGAAGGGCTATTATTATATATCATTGTGTATATGCATCCAGACCTCTTTCACCACAGAGATCCATTCCCAGACTTCCAATGGTGGTGTATTCACTTCACATCTATACCTTCCCATATCAGGAAACACTCATCTGCATAATTTCATATAGCTGTGAATGTAGCCCCATCATTAGATCAATTAGAAGATGTTTAGGATGTTTCTATTTCATCACAACCACAGGAAAAGTAAGCCAACATCTATCTTATTAATGATTTCTTTTTCTTTTTTTGGGGTCCAGTGGTGGGGCCTGAACTCTGGGCCTGGGCGCTGTCCCTCAGCTCTTCAGCTCAAGGCTAGCACTCTACCACTTGAGCCACAGCGCCACTTCTGGCTTCTTTCTTTTTGCTTATGTGGTGCTGAGGAATGGAACCCAGGGCCTCAGGCATGCAAGGCAAGCGCTCTACCACTGAGCCACCTTCCCAGCCCCTTATTAATGATTTCTTTGGGCTATTTTACTATCTACCCACCCTGGCCCTCCCGCAGACTGAGCTCACCTGGTGCTCGGCCATCCATGTCTCCCATGCAGTCCTGGTAATGCTTGGCTAGGAGAGAATACAGTTGATCGAAGCTGGGGGCTTTTCCAGCCTCCAGGAGGGCTTCAGCTGTGGCCAGGTGCATTACTGTGTCATCACTGACTCTCCACAGTTCCACATCTATGGCTTCCAGGCCACCCATCTGGGCCAGCTGCTGGTGAATCTTCTCCCCGCTCCGAAGGAATTCCCATTTCCCGTTGAAGTACCCCAGGGCATCTCCAGCTGCACTCAGCAACATGGCCGCCACATACTTCTCTATCAGGCCTCCACACATGCTGGGCTTCACAAGAGCAGTGCAGATGCCTGAATGAAGATGGCAAAAGAACCATCTGAAAAAACAAGAGCTCCAACTACACTTCACTCCCTACCAGGAGGCCCAGTATTAGAGGTACCTCGTTTAATGCTGCCTGCCTAACATATAAGTAAATTGAGGATCATGGAGATAATGTAGTGTTAGAAACACTAAGAGATCTGTCCCAGGTCACAGAGCTATCAAGTGACAGGTCTCAGATTCCATATGCCTCTGTCTGACTTCAAAGCCCCCGATAATTTTTTCAGTCATGCGGCTTAAACTCAGGACCTGGGCTTTGTCCCTGAGCTTTTTTACTCTAAGGCTAGCACTCTACCACTTTGAGCCACAGCTTCACGTTCAGTTTTCTGGTGGTTAATTGGCAATAAGAGTCTCAAGGACTTTCCTGCCCAGGCTGGATTTGAACCATGATCCTCAGATCTCAGTCTTCTGAGTAGCGAGGATTACATGCATGAACAACCAGTATCCAGCCCCAGATTTGAACTGTATCTTTGCCTCTGGTGAATATCAAGCCATTAAATTCTTCATGTCAGCTCAAGCTAATCACTTTTTTTCTTCTTAGTTGAGATTTGGTTTTGGAAGAGCATCTCTCAGTTATATAAGCACCAACAGGGCTAGGAAGTGGCTCAGTGGTAGAGCGTTTGCCTTGCATGCATGAGGCCCTGGGTTCGATTCCTCAGCACCACATAAGCAAAAAAAGAAAAAAGCCGGAAGTGGCGCTCTAGCTCTAGCTGTGGCTCTAGCTGTGACTAGCTGTGGCGCTAGCCTTGAGCTGAAGAGCTAAGGGACAAGACCCAGGCCCAGAGTTCAGGCCCCATGACCAGACCTAAAAAAAATATATATATATATAAGCACCAACATTCCTTCCTGGTATCACAACACAGTTTATAAAACACTTCAACAGTTACTACCTCACTAAAAAGGGAGGTCGAGGGTAGGGAGAATCAGGGTGAATGGAAGGGAATATGAAGGTCAAATTACTTTACATGCATATATGAAAATATAACAATTAAATCAATTAAATTGTTTTAAGGAGGAGCAACGAGATAAAGGAAACTGATAGAGGTGAGGTTGTTGGGGTATACTGTATGTGTCTATGGAAAGATCAAATGAAAACCCCTTCTGCAACTATTTTATGCTAATAAAAAGAACTTTAGAAAAACTTGTTTTCTTCTAAGGGACACTTGTTTTTTGTTTTTGATTTTTGTTTTGGGTTTTTTGTTTTGTTTTTGCCAGTCCTGTGGCTTGAACTCAGGGCCAGGGCACTCTCCCTGGACTTCTTTTGCTCAAGGCTAGCTCTCTACCAATGGAGCTACAGCGCCACTTCCAGCTTTTTCTGTTTATGTGGTACTGAGGAATCGAACCCAGGGCTTCATGGATGCTAGACAAGCACTCTACCACTGAGCCACATTCCCAGCCCAATGGTTGTTTTAAGCTTTTGCTTTTGTTCTGGTATTAGGGCTTGAACTTGAGCTGTTTGTTAGCTTTTCTCCCCTAGGTTAGTGCTCTACTACTTGAGCCACAGCTCTACTTCCAACTTTTTGGATAATTCAAGATAAGATTCTCTTGGGGGAGGTGTTGTACCTGAGGAGGGAGGGAAGGGATGGTAGGGGAAAAACAAAGGAGGAGGCAACAATGCTGGATAAGAAATGTACTCATTACCTTGCTCATGTAACTGTAACCCCTCTGTACAGTATTTTCACAATAAAAAACTTAATTAAAAAAAAAGGTTTTCATGGACTTTCCTGCCCTGGCTGACTTCCAACTCTGACCCTCAGATCTCAGCCCTATGAGTATCAGGATTACAGGTAGAAACCACTGGTCCCTGGCTTAAAAGACAGTTTTGAAGTACTGGATCTCAGCTAATATACCCAACATGAATTAAATCCCTGATAAAGCCTAGCTTCCATGTAGGTGCAATTCCCAAAAGCACTCTTCCTAAGCCAGTTTCTCCAGGTAATCTATTTCATTGGCTTTCAGGTTCAAAGCCCTCCATAGCCTGCCCACCCTATTCACTCACTCCTTGTGTACAGGTTGGCGAACACTTTTTTTTGGGGGGGGGGGAGGCGTCCAGTCATGGGCCTGAACTCGGCCTGGGCGCTGTCCCTCAGCTCTTCAGCTCAAGGCTAGCGCTCTACCACTGGAGCCACAGCGCCACTTCCGGCTTTTTCTGCTTATGTGGTGCTGAGGAATCGAACCCAGGGCCTCATGCATATAATGCAAGCCACCTTCCCAGCCCTGGCAAATACTTTTAAGGACTCACCCTCCCCTCAACTCCAACCTTTCCCCTACCCAATTGCCACTTATCTAGACTCCATTTTCCTCTAGGTGTAGTTCACACCCTAGGATCTCTGCAGTCCTTTCTCAGCTGGGCTGCCGGTGGGATGCAAGGATACCAAGCACCTGGAAAAGCAGTAACCATGAAGATGGACTGCGCAATCCAGTTTCTGATCATGCTCAGCTTCCAGGACCACAAAGGATGTGACCAGCTATTTTCAGATTCCATTACTTGTAAATGAAGCTGTAAACAAGCCATCCACCCTGGACTCCATTTTCCTATCTGTAACCTAGACAGTATAGGAGAGGGGAATGGAGATGTTCTGCCGTGGGCTAGTATTTTCAGGACCACAGCTTTAGAAGGCCTTGGGACTAACTTTTATAAAGCTGACTTTATTGTCATTGTTAAAGTGTTGTACAGTGGGGCTAGTGTTTCATAAGTCAGGTAATGCAGACATTTCTTTTAATGCATATGTACCTTTATCTTCACCCCTTCCTTTACTTTCCCCCAGTTACTTCCTCCCATCCCTGCCCACAAGTTGCATTGTGTCTACTGAGTACCATTGCCTGCATGTGTTCATCCTTCCTCCATTTCCACACTTCCTCTTGTCCCCCTATAGAAAAAGAATAAACAAAACAAAAAACTAAAAGCAAAAACACCAACAACAATAACAACCAATTTTTTAAAAACCTATTTCCTATTCCATTGCAATAAATAGTTCAAAGGTGTTATACCTTTGAGTTCCTCCTTTCAGAGTACCCTCCTTTAGTCTCACTGTGTGTGAATACCTAGAGTCCTGTTTATATGCTCCTGTGTATTTTAAATCTAGCTTCTACAGATGAGAGAAAAAATCAGCCATTTGTCTCTCTGAGGCCTGGCTTCCCTCTCTTGACATGATTTATTCTAGTTCCCTCCATTTCCCTGTACATGACATAATCTTATTCTCTCTAACGGAGGAGTAAAATTGCATTGTGTATAAATAACACTCATCTGTCCTGGGGCATCTGGACTGTTTCCATAATTTGGCTATTGTGGATCTAGTGCAGCGATGAACATGGATGTGTGAGCGTCTTAGGGTATCCTGACTTGTAATGTTCTAGGAGGATGCGCAGGAGTGGTCATCAGTAAGTTCTGTTTAGTTGAGGACCCTCCAAACCACCTTCCACAGTCTCAGGACTAACGTTCCAACCTTCCTCCTCCAATGGCCGAGGCTTCTAGCCATTCTCCCAGACTCCATCCCAGTGCATGTTTTTTGTGGGTCATAAGCAGGTGAAGGAGGACCGGCATCTTTTCCCTGCAGAATTCCTTCCCTTCCTTGGCACAGACAATCACACTGCCCTGGCTTCCCACTTCCCCAGGCCAAGAATTGTGAGCCGAAAAAAGAAAGTCCTTTTCATTTCCCAACAAACCTGCAACAGACTTCTTCAGGGCGGGGGGT